ATTTTCTCCGGGAATATGATGCATCCTTTCCTCAGCCCTATGTACCCATTTCTGCCTAAAGGTCCTCTAAAATCTTTTCATATCACAAGTTAACTATTTAGATTCCGCTTCATCTGTAGTGCGGGTTTCACAGCTTTTTAAAATGATGGTATTAATTTGGCATTTCATTAATCCTGCTAATAAATGAATATCAACTCACAGACTGTTGTTTCCAATATATCTCATGTTCCTCCATGCTGTAATTCACACATTCTTAGAATAAAAATTGGTCCTGAGTTGTTTTATGGTTCTAATCTGGGGCCAGCTTCAGTGGTTAATACAGTGGCTTGTTACAGGGACATTGCAGTGACTGTGCTCACACAGCAATTTTTAAATTCAGGTTTGGCTGCTAAAAGTGTACAAACACATTACAATTATGTTTCCTGTCTCTTTATACAGCCATTTGAGTCCAACTTCTACCTTTCATATCAACAAATGGTATGATTAGATTTTAGGTTGATGGTTTCAACGGGGAATATGAGAACTGTAATCCCTTTAGTGGCATATTTGTGAGAACGTAGCAGCCTGTGTGGCTTTAGCATTATCTTATTAGTGAGGGTTTATCATCGGAGACGATATTTATGGTAACATTTGCTAATTTAATTAATTGCTACTGATGCTCCCATAATTTCATTTTCATTGTACTTCTGTGGGATCATAAACAAAAGGTTAAGTGGTGCATCAGGTTAATTTACCGGCCTTTGATGTTTCCATCTGTGATCCTGCATTCAACACAAAGCATAAATAAAATGCTTCCCATATAGTTACGGTCCAGAGGCACTCCTCTATCCTAGAGTGAACTGCATTTTTAGTTTAATTTTTGTGCTTCTCAAATCCACTTAATCCATAGCACATTACACTGACATAGATCTCTGAGTTTCTGTTTTATGAAAACAAATTAGGTCTGCTCAGGGGGGAGACTGCCATGCTAAGAAGTGATCGGACAAGAACATAACTGAAAACCAAGGATAAACTATTTGTTTCATAGTAATAAAATAAATTTCATAAAATAGTTCTCATTTGCAACTCTCTGCAAATCAGACTCTACAAAATAGTCCTGTTCTAGGGATAAAATTCCTTAATGGTAATATTTTAATAGCCATTTTCCAAAAGAGTCCATGTTGAAGTCGAAAATACATTGTGTGGTGTTACATATACATATATTTTTTAATTACTTGTTGCACACCTTTTGAAGAAGTCACAGCTTAATAACGCCAATGGAGAGCTTGCTACATGATAAGGTCAGCTGGTTTGCCTTATTTTTTTTTTTTTTTTCCTGATCCTCAGAGAATGTGCCTGCTAGGATGATACAAAGGAGCATTCGACTCTCCAAACGATGAAATAATTTTAAAAACAAAATGCAGGTAGCGCATGTATAAGAAATGGTTTTCTTGGAATCAGTACAATATACCTGAGCTCAGCAGTTGAGATAAGAACACTTAAACTAATTAATATGTATCGTTCCCTGATTAGTCATGCAATTGCCATTTCTGGATACTTAAAGATGTGAGTGTTTTTATTCAGTGGCTGATAAAACTTGGTATTGTTCCATTTTAATTAATACCTCTAAAAACAATCCTTCAGCCCGACAGTAATTTCCAGACCTAACCTTTGAGTCAGAAGAGAGCCAATTTGAAAAGAAATGGGTGCCTCATCACTGTCTGCCAAGGGGCTGGTCATAAACCATTCCCTAAAGGCGACAGAATACCTCTATTTGGGTACGGTGAGTCATGCCATGCCCTTTTTAGCCATTTACCTATACCTGGCTCACTGCTCTACAAATGATTTTTATTTATCTTAATATTATTTTTGTGCATAATAACTATAATAAACAACCCTGTCAGTGCCGCCTGGTGGCCATTTCCCCTTTTTTGTTGTTGTTGTTTGTTTGTTTTGTTTTGTTTTGTTTTACCTGTCCTGTGGGTTCCTTGAGCTTTTTTCATTCCTTTTGAAGTGACGGGTGGGAGGAAGGGGGAGGGCAGGATTTTGTGCCCCTTCCTGATACATTTAGAGCCTTTGTCTCCCACTTTTGAAAAAACTCTGATACTGAATTCGAATTAGGCCTTTGGAATAAATCCTGCCTTAATGCTGCTTAATAGAGACCTGGGTTAGAACGGAAAAGGTCTGATTTCGAGGGGGCGGGTGACCTGAAGCCCAATGAGCCCTCGTTAAATCTAAGTTGGCCACAGCGGGGTTCCCTGGGCCACCCAATAAGCAAAATTAAAGCCAGAGAACCCAGCCCAGACTTCAGGCTGCAGGTTGCAAGGCCTTGCCCGAGTGCGGCTGCTGATTCAGCGCGCGAGCCTCAGGTCTGATTACACTTTTAGGCAGTTACAAATACTATTGTTCTCTTCTGACGGAGAAATTAGACGCACTTTGTTTTTGCACTGACCGCGAATTTCTCAAGCAAACGGTAAAGTGGCCCCGGCAGAAAAGTGCCCACCCGTGGCCCTTGTGGCAGAGCCGACCAGCTCAGGAGAATAAGTCCCCGGGGCCCGGGCGCTGCTCTGAGGCTGGTTCACAGTCAAGGCCAAGGCCACTGCCTCTCGAGAGAAGGCGGGGGGTGGAAAGACTACCCAGCCGGCGGCCCGGGGCTCCCTGGCGGTGAGGCCCGTGGCCCCAGGGCCGGCTCGGCCTCCTACCCCAGCCGGTGGAGTAAGGGCTCTGCGTTTGGGTGCGTGTTTTACGGCGTGCACTCACGAGTCTCAACTTTTTTCTTTTGTCATCAACACTCTTTACTTCTCCCCCTTCTTCTGCTGGGGCTGAAATCTAAACAGGAGTTTGCGTCTTGCATTTGACTATACGCTTGTTTCCGAGGTCTGGGACGCCGCAAGGGCCCTGGCGACCGCAAGTCCCCGGTCCCTCTTCGGCTCGGGACGCCCCACACTTGGACTCGCTCTTTCGGGTCCCTTCTTTCTCCAGCGGGCCCCTTTCTCCCCCGAGTTTGCCACCCTGGCACGCCCGCTTCGGGGCTCCCCGCTAGCCGTCCTGTTCCAGGCAAAGCCTGAGAGCGACCCTAAAGCTGCAGAAGATCCCCCGGCCGAGGGTAGCGTCCCGCTCCGGGCCTCCCGGGGCACAGGCTGCCCAGGGGACCGAGCTCCCAGCTCCCCTGCCCTCGAGGGTCGCTCTCGCACTCGCGCGCACAGCGAGCGCAGGTCCTACCTTGGGAACCGCCCTCTCCAGGCCTCCGGGCGCCCTCTTAGGCCCGCGACCCCCGCCTCTCCAGGGAGTAACAGCGTCCCCTCGGCTCCACTCCCGGGAGCCCGGCTGCCGCGCCCTTCCTCCGCGGGCTCCCACCCCCATTTCCGGGGTCTCCTCCCTCTTGCCTGCACCTTCCCGCGCTCCCTCCCCGCCCACCCCGCTGCCTGCCGGCACTCACCTGGTTGTTCTTGCAGAGATCAGCCCACATGCTGGTGCCGTCCCCTCCGCGCATCAGGACGTGGTAGGTGAAGAAGTAGATGCCCGGGATAGAGCAGGTGAACTTGCCCGTGGTGGGATCGTAGTGGTTACCGAGGTTGGTGACCACGTCGTCGAACTTGAGCACCTCGTAGCCTTCGTGCTGCCGCTTGAGGCCGGCGTAGAAGGCGATCTTGGGCACCGTGCTGTAGGTGGCGGCGCTGATGGCCCCGGCCGCGTTCAGGCCGGGCGCCCCGGGCGGGCCCGGCAGGCCTTGGCGGCCGGGCTCGCCCTTCTCGCCCGGAGGGCCCACGGGACCCGGCGGCCCGGGCTCACCGGGGGGCCCGCGCGGGCCCGCCTTCCCCGGCCTGCCGGCCTCGCCTTTGGGGCCCTGGATGAAGGTGGGCAGGGACTGCATGAGGCCGCGGTCGGGCGTGGCGGCCGTGCTGGGCGCCTTGGTGCCCCCGTAGGGGTCGCAGACCATGCGGCAGGTGCCCAGCATCTCGTAGTGCGCCGACGTGCCGGCCGAGCTCACCAGCACCGGGATGAGGATAACCAGCAGCAGCACCATCACCACCCCCAGCGCCCCGGCGGCGATCAGGCGCCTCCTGCTGCCCACCAGCCGGCTCAGCGCGGGGCGATCCTCTTGTCTGCTTTTGGACAAAATTTTGAAGGTTGGGCGGGGACCTCCTCAGAGCCGAAAACAACCCCCTGCGAACCCCAACTCCCCTGGGCGGGCGCGCGCCGGCCGCTCCCCGCCTGCTCCTGCTCCTGCTCCCGCTCCCCCTGCTGAGGCTGCGGCTGGGGAGGGAGCTCGGACGCCAGGCGACTGGAGCTGAAGTCCCGGGCTGGGGGGGGGGGGGGCTGGGGGAGGGGCGCGCAGGGCGCCCTCTCGCCTCCCGCGAGCCCCTTGGCACCTGTGGCTGCGCCTCGGGCGCCGGCGCGGCCACCCGGAGGGCAGAGCCAGCCGCCGCCTGTCGCGCCGCCCGGGGCCGCTCACACTTTTATGCGGCCGCTGCCTGCGATCGACTTTTCCGTTTTTGCCGACTGCGCCAGTTCGCACCAACTTTCCGTCTGAAGTTGCCTTTTTCTGCCTCCTCCTCGGCTTCTCTCGCTGGCTCGGTTCGCCCTTCCGCTGCCTGTCTCCCCCTCCTTCGCCACCGCCACGGCAGCCCTAAGAGAGGCGCACTCCCCCCCCGCCCCCCGCGAGCTCGGGCCGGCCGCCCCCCGGGTGCGCGGAGCAGCGGCGGCGGCGGGCACGGTCAGCGCGGCGAGGCTCGGGGCTGGAGCGGCGGAGCCAGTGAGCAGCGGCGAGCGCCTGGCGGCCGGGAGCGGAGCGCGAGAGAGACTGAACGCAGAATCCTGCCCGGGTACCACCTGCAGGAGAAGAGGAGGCTGACAAACGCGCGCCGGAGCAATTTATAGGCACCCAAGGCACAGAGGAAGGGGAGCCGCTCTAGCATCTCACTGCAGCATCTGCTCCGCGCATCCCACTCAGAGAGAGTTTGGCATCGCTCTGACAGTGTGGGATTTTTTTTTTCTCAGCCTCTCTCTCTTCCCCCCCCCCCCCCCCGCACATGGATGAACAGTGAGATCGTGAACACTCCCTTGCCGAGCCCAGGTGATGGCAGCTCTCTCGTTGGACACACCTGGCGGGGGGAGGGGGAGGGAGACCGCTGTGCAATGGCCTCGGGGACTCGAAGGTCACACCTAAGCCCCCTGTGTCCCCGCGGGGAGCTGCGCCACTTGGAGGGTGGAGGTGAGGGTTGAAAAGAGGATGGCTCCGTTGACAACATTTCTCTGCTGGCTCACCCACAATCAGCCGGCGCTTCAGGTGTTTTTCAAAATGCCACTTTTAACATAAGAAGGGCCCTTTAGAATTTTCCAGATGGTTTTCTCTTGTAACCTTATGGTTTCCCTCGCCAGTCTTCTAAAATGAAGCAAGATGCCACCCAGAGAACAGGAAGGTGTGTTGAAAAGCCCAAGGGCTGTTTTGAATGATTATGAATGAATAGGCCCACCACACCAGGGGGTGGGGGTGGGGGTGGGGGTGGGTTCTTTTAACAAATGCGCGGATCCCGTGTCCTCGCTTACAGGACTGCAGTTCTAGCTACCTTTCAGGAGATCCTGCCATCGGATCTGAAGTTGCATGTACTTGCACTACCGGCACGAGAGATAATGACTTGTCGGATGTCTTTCAAGGTCTTAAAGCAAGCAGCCTTTCCAAAAGTCCTGGGCAAGATCTTTTGCTGAGATATGGAAAGTGTCCTGTAAGCTCCAGGCACAGTTCCTGCATGTACACTGAGGCATGGGGACAAGAGGTAACACAGGAGAGCAGAAGGAAAAGCCTGGATTTGTGATATTAATGTAAAACCCCCCGAGTAGGTATTAGGCAAGTTATCCCACTAACAAATACAGAAGGCACACAGGAACGGCCTTAAATAAACAAGCAGAATTGATTTGTAAATCATACTTTTGCATTCAGGACCCATGGATGTCAATCAAACGTGGATGGCATTTGCTTGTCAATACGGGGATGATGGCTGGGAAGATGGTGACTTATTACATCAGGGTGAGAATCTGAAATGAGCAAGAACAAACAACAGCACAGCAAGCGGAACAGGAACCTCCCGGCGGCCTGGGATCTTGTCTGCGGCTACCATAGCACCGAGCGTCTCCTTTTCGGTTCCCTCCGCCTACCTTCCACAGCACCCCGGTTTAGTTCTTTCTTTCCTTCTTCTCGGTTTCAAAAGTAAGGTCAAATGAGCCGGCGGAAGACAACACCGACTCATTGATTCTTTTAAGAGAAATGTCGGGAGCTCCTTCAGGCCTTTCCTGGGAGAATCAAGAGCGAGGCGCAGGCCCGCCGGGCCCAACCCAGCCTAGGTCTCCAGGTTTTCTCTCCCTCTGGCTGCTGAGGGGGCCACTGCTCTTGCTACTGGACAAGAGTCCTTCCCACTCCTCAAACCTTTAACTTTTATTTTCGGGTAGTGGTTTTAGAAACGTGTGTCTGTGTCTTGGGAATAATTATACATGTATTTCAGAATACTTTTATTCACACGAGGAACCTTATTTTCATATATTTGAGCAGCGGACACATAGCAAATTCTCCACTGACCACGATGCCTATTTTCCTAACACACGATCTGGGTTGCTTCTCAAAAGCCACCTTTCTTTTAGGGGATGAGATGGTAAAGGGTGGTAACAGGATGAAGGTTAATGCATTAATCAAACTCTTTTCCGATGCACCAAGCTATCAACATTCAGAAGACTTCTTTATTGCTAAAGAGAGTCCAGGTGGGGGATAGAGGGGGCAGTTTTTAAAAGGTAGAGTTGAATAAATAAATTCTCATTGAAAAATCTCAAGATACATGGCATTTTCCGCTGGAGACTGCTCACCTTACAGAGGAACCCAGTGAGGATGCCATGAAATGGTAGGGTTGGAATGAATGCGGGCAAGCGAGTCCACACCAGCTCACGTTTGCAGATGTTGTAAGGGCGGGACACAGCTGGGAGCAGAATCGGGGCTGTCCAGTGCGCGTGCTGGTACCCTTTCCTCTACATTGCACTGACGGACCTATGGTACCGCTCTGTTCATGGAGGCTCCTCTCCTTCTCCTTCCTTTAATGCCAAAGCGCAGCTTGGCTTCGCGAGCGAGGGCACTGGCATCTTAAAGTTCTGCTGAGGTTTGGAAAGGTGCTCTGTAGTCCTTCACGAAGAAGGCAACGTTGGCCAGGCCACATGGCTGAGCCATTTTCCTGTTGAGTGCACAAACCCCGGGTGGCCCGTGGACATTTGGCTTTTCAGCGAAGTAAGTTTAAATTATGGGTCTCCTTCCTTCTCTAGAAGCGTCCCACCATGTGCTTTGGGAGAAGCTTCTTGTTGTCGTTCAGGATGACTGGGTAGTAGGTGAACTAATGGCAGCTTGCAGCCACTTTCCACCACTTGAATTTCTGAGAAGGTTCTCTGGAAAGTTACTCACGCTTCAGCCCTTATTCTGACAGTTTGAATAAGCCATCTGATATGGCATATTACTCATCATCTCTATATGTATATAATAATAGAAAATGTGTCAATTAAAAAAAAAATATTTGGTTCTCTTCAGTCATCATCAGAGAAGCAAGTTATCGCTCAGATTTGATGTTAATCTTGGAGATGAGCCCTGGGAATCTAATTTTCCCAATCATTTCTCAAGGAAACCCAAGGCTCCGTATTCCCGTTCCTTCTACACCTGGGACTCTGTGACCATTCGGATTATGAAGTTAAACGCAGAAACCCAAGATCCAGGTTGGATGACGGTGCTGTGATTTTCATCTTCCCCACATCATCTCTGTCTCTTTCGGAGAACCCAGCAGATCCTGCACACGCGACTCCCACACAGATGTGCAGGGACATCATTAATCTTTATTGAGCGCCCACCGGCAGCACAGCCCTACACTGGGCTCTTACAAGGCAAACAAATCTTTAGTCATGAGAATGATTTCCAAATGCAGCCACACTTAAACAGAAATAGCATTTATAAGGAGACAATAAAAGGAGTTAGCAAACCCAAGGACTATCTACAGGAACAGAGATTTTAAAAGTCTGAAAAAAAATCAGACTGGGATCAGCTATTTACCTTTGATTTCTGGGTCTCCAAATTGTATTTCAGGACATATACTCCTTTGGCTGAGGAATTCGAGATTTCTAGAAAGGGTCTGCTTGGAGTAATGGAAGGAAGTAGTAGTATATCCTTATGGCTTTGGAATCAGAGGAGTCTTAATTTGGATCCAGTGTCTTCATTTACTAGCTATGAAAGTTACTTAATCTCCCTGAGGCTTAATTCCCTTTTCTCTAAAATGGGAATAACACTAACACCTAAATTGTAGGGTTGTTGTGAAGACGCAAGTTACTGCGTCAATTACAGTGCTACCCAACTCATGACCAGGGCCCAGTAAATGTCAGTTTTCATGTTTATCTGTTGTAGGACTGCTGAGTAGAACATGTGCATACGGGCTGGACGGTAGGACACAGGCTTCGTAAAGGAAGCTAAAGGGTCAGACTTAAGACAAATGCCATCAAATGGATACTAAGTATCACAGACTTGGACAAAACTAGATAGAACACACAAGTTTTCCAGGAGAGGTGCCTGTGTATCATATTATATAATATGAAATGAAGTAAGACAAAACTCAAAACAACGCTCACCTTCACTTTTCTCCAAAATAAGAAAAAAAAAAACACTTTTATAGCAAGATAATTTGAATTCACTGCAGTTTCACAGACCAACATGTTGGATTTAAAACCTACTAGGAAGCGTTAAAATGTGCCCCCCCCACCCCGTTCCCGGAAAGTTCCCCAAATCAACAGGTTGCAAATGTATATAAAAATCATTGAGATAGTTTCTCAGGAACTGTTCCCGTGGATGACGATTCTTGAAAAAGTTAACATATATCAGAGAGGGCTGCTTTGTATAGTTAGCCAGAAGAGTAATCACTCTGAAGGAAATAAATCATAACCACATGCAGTAGGGAATTTTCAACAAAAAACTCTCCATGGAGGATAGTGAGTTGGAAAGCTGGCTTGACAGGTCTTTTGCCAGAAAACTATTGAATAGCCAGCTGGAAAATTATTGAGTAGCACATTGCATAAGACTTGGTATAATGCATGGCTTCAAGTTGGCCTCAAATTCTTGTCATATCAATCAATGCAAGGATGAAATCTCTAATATGGATATGCTATTTTATACTCGCTTTCCACGGGTGGAATGGTCAGGCCCTAAGACCCTATTTGATGTAGAACTGAAGGGAAAGTTACCAACAATGAAATCTCAGGGGTCAGCAAGTCCTCCCAAGTGATGGTCGTGATAACTCGGCCATACAAGGAAGATGGGCGAGTTCAAGAAACTGCTGCCATTAGACTATAGGGCATTCCAAGCAGAAGATATATCATAGAAACACAGCTGCGAAGCCTTATAGCAGACAAGGTCAATTGGTCAGGTCAGATTGGTTAATCAGGCAGGTAGCGATAAGAACTGCGGTAGTCTTATTGTTTTAAAAATCAAAAGCATCATGAATCCTGACAGAGGTTACAGAGAACCACCAACAGAGCCAGACCCTGCCAAGAGCAGCTGCTATTCTAGAATCTGGGTCTAAGCGAGATTGGGCTGGGGTCGATAGAAACATCAAATGAAAGTACATTCAGCCCCACTGCTATATGAGAGTACCCCCAGAGAAACTCACTTTCAAATATGAACAATCTGTCCTGTGGAAAAAAAATATTGCATTCCTTGGGTATTTGTAGATGAATAGACATATCAGCTTTTCCCTAATTCGGGCAACCTCTTGGGAATAGTCTTGAACTACGTAAAAATAGATACAGTTTAAAACCATAATCCTAAAAATAAATTGTAATTTAGATCTGTAATAAGCTGGAGGGGAAAAAATTTAACTATCGTAGGGAGTTGTATGTTCAATATAAGTAGTTGTATATTTCAGTGTTTCCCATTGAAAGTAGTTGCAACAATTCATCATTTAATTACTTTATATTTGGCTCTGGAAAGTGGAAAATGTAGTAAAAGGTGGTGCTACTTAGATGAGGGTTTGATGTTTTTCTTTTGCCTGGACAGTCCAAGACACAAGAGGTAATCTTTCCACTCATCAATATCCACAAAGGTCTAGGGTTTCGCTCAGGCCTTCTAAGACTCATCAGCACATAAAAATATTCTGAGCGTGAGCTGCTCCACAGATGGTAATCATTCTGGGTATTTTAGCCTTTTATTGTCTGCTGCTGCCTTGTTTGGACCATTCTAGCAAGCTAGCAAATTCACCGGGGCAGGAAACAGAAGCAAAATGATTCATTTTATTACCAATGGCTGCTTTCATAAAAGAAAGTTCAAAACTATTTGCTAAATTGAGGATTACTCGAGCATGTCTATTATCCAATAGTTGCCATCATGCATTTATATGTGTGTGTGTATTTGCAATCATATGTATAGTTTCTTTACATTTACTCTTAAGGGTTTGTTAAACCTTAGTAGTCGGATAATGGGAGCCAGAGGTGGTCTACCCATGATGGCTTCTCTTAGTGAAAGCCCCATAACGTGATTTCGGCCCCCCGGAAAGTACGAACATTTGTTCTAGCATTACACAGACCACTGGTTGGCCCTCTTTGCCCATCTCCCTGAGGGCTAAGGGTGGCATGGTCCTTTTTACAAAAGGCCTTGAATAGAAAAAAGGAAAAAAAATTAGGATTTAATTAAAAGGAATTTTAGACATGTGGTTCTCAGATACAATCACGCATCAGGTCTAAACTACATAATTAACTTTTCCTTCAGAAATTCAGAACAAGCACAGAAGGCCCTAATCTAATGTTTTATCCAGTTTTGACTCTACTAGTTAGAATGAATTTGTTAGATAAGTCACTTCTATTATCTTCTCATTAACGTGTTCCATTTAATTCAACTGAACTGAGTTAAAACCTGCAAGAAAAGAACTGGGCTTTGCTACACATCTGCTCCTCCTGAAGCCTCTCCCATGACTGGACCCCTCTCACGCTCCCATTTGCAACGACCTGCCTCCGGCCCCTGCTCAGGGTGGTTCACCATTCTGCCCAGAAATGGCAACACCCTTAGTGTCCGCATGGCCAGAAAGTCCAGGTACTTAAGCTTGGAATGCTGGGCTCTTCAGAAATTGCCCCAAGGCCTCTTTACCTGGCCAGCCTTGATTTTCATACCCAGCCCCCTCTTTATCCATTTTCTGGTTTTCGGTTAATCATGCCAGAAGTGGGCTTGTCCTTGCCTTCTCCTCTACTCTGGCAACCAACCTCCTCCCTCTTCTCTTTCCTCTGCTGCTATTATCCCTCTTTCAGCCCCACCCCACCCATCTGCTAAAACCACCTCCTTCATCCCTTCTCCTACTGGCTCCCTCCCTGCACCCCCTTGCCACTCCCTGCCTCCTTGGTTCTTCCAGAGCCTGTGGCTTGTCCTGGTTCACAGCACTTCCCTCCCACTGCTTTGGTGGTGGTGGTGCCGGATGGGGGGGGGGAGGGGGGAGGGGGGTGGGGGGCGGTTGTCCCCTCTGTCCCCCTTCTGTTACTGTCAGAAATGCTAGCGGTTTTCATCTTCGGGCCCTATGCCACCCCCAGGCACCAAAGACATGTTGATTAGGGGCCAAATGCCTTGTTTGTTGATTGGAATTGTTAAATCACGATTGGACAGTATAGTTTTCAAAAGAAATTGTTAAGGTTTAAGAAATCTGGATGTGGTCGGGCCCCTGGGTGGCTCAGACATCTGATTTCAGCTTAGGTGATGATCTCACATTTCATGGGTTCGAGCCCTGTGCCCCACGTCCAGCTCTGTGCTGGCAGCTCAGAGCCTGGATCCTGCTTCCAATTCTGTGTATCTCTCTCTCTCTCTCTCTCTCTCTCTCTCTCTGCCCCCTCCCGCTTGTACTCTCTCTCTCTCTCTCTCAAAAATAAATAAACATAACAAAAAAAATAGAAATCTGGATGTAGTGAACATGCCTGGACTGGAAATTAGATATTTCCAAGGACTAGACTCCCTAAAAGACTGGAAACCCTTCACCTGCCAAAAGTGTTCGTTTAAGAAGCAGATTAATATCAGATCTTTATAAAATCAGCAAAATTAGGAGCTGAGGAATATCCTGTACAAGAATCGGAGGTCGAGATGTATGAGGGCCTTAGATGTCAGACCTAGTATGTGTTTACCTCGCAAGGAGAGATGTGTGCAGGGTTGGCTATGATAGTGGAAAACGATGATTAAATTTGTTTAAGGACTGTATTTTCCAAATGCCTCATACTGTGTGCACGGTGGGGAGCAAAAATTCAACTGTGATTACTGAAAGAGAATATGAATTTCTCAGGGATTCTGGCCCAAGAGGATGGCCATACGAAGCACCTACACTACAGGCCCCAGGGGGTCTCCTATGGGTTTCTCCGCCCATTTCTTTAAGATTCATGCCAAGGTATTCTGCCTATAGTCTATCTGCTGTCAAGAACTGGAGGCAAGATATTTCTTCTAAAATACCGAATGATAGGGGCACCTGGGTGGCTTAGTTGGTTAAGCGTCTGACTCTTGACTTTGGTTCAGGTCGTGATCTCACAGTTCACGAGTTTGAGCCCTGCATTGGGCTCTGCACTGACAGTGCAGAGCCTGCTTGGGATTCTGTTTTCCTCTCTCTCTGCCCTTCCCTGGCCTGTTCTCTCTCTCTCTCTCTCTCAAAATAAATAAAAAGTAAACTTAAAAAAATAAATAAAGTAACATACAGAATGATCATATTAATTCTTCTAAACTTCACCTAGTTCCAAAGAAGTATTGAAGTTTCTAAAGAGAAAAACACAAAGACATGTAAAACAGCTCCTCAAAAATCAAAATAAGAGAACTATAGCTAGGTGACTGAAAGAAAGGCTGGGGACAAGGGAGAAAGATTTGGCACAGAAGTGTTACATCAAGGGTGGTGGCTGCTGTATAGAAAATACTTCTGGGTTCCCCAGTAGCCAAGGCAAAAAGGAAAACGTTGCGGATTATCTTCATCTTGTGATTTATGAAAAGAAACATTCCAACATTCGGGAGAAAGAGATTATTCTTATTATAAAATTCTAAGAATTTAGTGAGTGAGAAGTATGGAACTGTATCATGAATAACAGTCAAAAGCAGCTTCACAGAAAATGAAGAAATGTCCCCCAGTGGCAAACTAAAGAAGCCCAAATCTAACGCAGCTTACCAACCCTAGTACATCTGGAGATTCATTCAAAGAAAGCTGACAAGCTCAACAAGAGGCAAACAAGACTCCCCGAAAACACACAATTAGCAAGAACAGAATGATATGGGATCAAGGGCAGAGGCTGCGGTTTAAACCCGAATGGGCCACGGCTCATTTTCAAATAAAAATCAGAAGTGTAGTAAATGCTATCATTGGAGTGACGAAGCTCGGCGGAAACAAATGCAAATAAATTCCACATTTCTGTTTCTTTTTAGTATGTAATTTGAAAAGATCAGTCAAATGTGACTAGCTACAGAAAAAAGAAAAGAAGTTAAACCATTTGGCAGATTTGTTCCCAAGTCATGCCTACAATATTTGGACCCGTGCATTACTACAGATAGAAAAGCGTTACTATTCACATTATAAAAACACAATGTTGGGCAGATAGGAAGTGAAATAAATCACACCTAATTCTCCAGTTTTGAAACCAAAATGAATGCATATCCTGCCTGATGACAATATTCATAAACACCAGGAACTATTCATATAAGAGATTACTGACCCCATGCGCCCCTGTGATGTAACAGCAAGCTACTTACAGCAGGTACAAAAATCACTTTTCTCTCTTCACATTCCACTGGTTACTTACAATTAAGACTCTTTATTTCAACCCTAGTAACACCTTAATTAAGCCTATACTAAGTCATTGGATATTTAGTCACAGACGAGTGTACATAAGGTGAAAACATCCCAATACTCCTGAGGCAGCTGATGAATTTTCTGAAGATTGTAGAGCATGCAGAATAGTAGGAATTTTAATGGTTTTCAGCTCCTCTTAGATCTACACGCAAATATAGAAATATGTATTGTGAAATGCAAATGAACTTGAAATGGGTTCAGTGGATGGTAATGCCATCCCCATGATGGGCACATTCATACTCAGGACCAGAAACCACTCAACAGGTAACAGTTTCCCATCAGCAAAAGATAAAAGGCAAACTGCTCTTACAAAGCGATAAACAGTACATAATACAAAGGGGAAAAATAAATACTCTTTCATGACACAAAAGGGAACGGAGCCAGGGAGATAAAAATGTAAGAATAAATATAGGTGGTTTAAACTAGTAAAGGAGAATCTGAATGAGAGAGAAAAAGGACTTGCTGCTTTTCTTTCTTTGAGGATGTTACATCCAAGCTTTCTCTGAATAACTCAAGTTTCAAACATGGCAGCACATTTTAGTTTAGCGTTTACGTTTCATCGCGGTCAAGCACAGCTTTTGAAGCACCGTGAGTGTATCTAGAGAATTGGAATCCCTTTGAAATGACAATTACACTATTTATCAGTGCAATTGGAAATAAGCATTAGGGAGGAAGGAGAGGAACAGTGAAGATTCACCATATAGATGTCTGCCATTTCCTCTGACCAACTCAAAATCTACTGACATCCTTAGTCGGTGCTCTGATGGCATGATAAACCGCGGTCCTTCATAGTCATCAAGACTTGATGGATGTGCACTATGAATGGATAGCTGGGAGCAGAGCAACTCCAAATTAAAATCTTCACTGTTTTGTTGGCCTGGAGATTCATTTTTGCTGTCATCCCCTCAATACACGCCTCCTTTTGTTTTCTGATTATTAATTTTGGAATCATTAGTGATTTAATTTTTTAACCACAAATGCAATCATTTTAATGATTCATTTGAGTAACATTTTTTAATTGGAAGCAGGAGAGAGTTTAATCTAAGCTGAGTTCTCTGAAATGAAGTGGCCTCTTTACGGAAGCTAGCATATTTTAAAGGGATTTGAAGTCTTTGCGTGGAATTTAACTGCAATCATAGAGCTCAGTGTTATGGGATGGTGAGTGCATACGT